CTACTCTTGGGTCTTACACTGAAAGCGCTTAAGGGGAAATTGCGTTGTAGATAAATGGTTTAGACCAGAGCTGCTTAACTTCTTGCTCACGAGCAAATTTCCCCTCCCGAGGTTTCCCCACTATGCGACTAAGATGATCTCGCTCGAGTAGCAGCGCGGCGGGAGGACGCGAGAAGGAGTTCTCCCACCACAACTCCAGCGACTACCTTTTGTTTATGTTACACATTCTGCGTGTTCGTACCAGTCATTTCGTACCAAAAATCTATCGCTGGAGTTGTGGTGGGAGGATTCCTCGCGTCCTACCCGCTACCCAAGCGAGATCATCTCAGTCGCATAGTGGGGGAACCTCGGGAGGGGAAATTTGCTCGTGAGCAAGAAGTCAAGCAGCTCTGGTTTAGACAAATGAATTTTAGTCAGCTGTCGATAATGTGGCACGCTGATGAAAGAAGGGAAAACTAAAAATTATTTAGCCGCCTTGTCCTCTTACCTAAGTTGGCGCGTAAGACACGTATTTAATAGTGCAGACGTTAATTTCTAAACGATTCATACACATATTTATTATAATACAGTATTTTTTAACATTTAGAAAACTGAAGTGTAAATATTTTTGTGCTATTCCTGAATAATAAAAGTAGATTTCTGAAAAGACTGAATAATAAAACCAAAAAATTTCTGGCTGCAATGAAAAATAGCGCGCCACCACAGACCGACAGCCAATAAAAACCATAAAACAGCTACTATTTAATGTTAAAGTTTTGAAAAATTTGACGTAATCAGACGACATGTCATCACTTTAACCGTAATATTTCGGCTTTGCTTAAAGAAATGCCCTTCCTGAATATATATACAGAATTTTATTTATTATTAGCAAATATAAAAATAATCGCTGCTAAAGTTTCAATTGCTAATTTGACACTGTTCCCACCCATAGTATAATTTCGAAAAAATACCATTGGATTGCTTGAATTTTAACCTGTAAAATAAGTTTATCGAAATAATAGACAAATTTTGGGAATATGGGATAAAAAAATTAAGTTTACCATGATGCACGACGTGTGGAGTCGCACAAAATATCATTCCGGTCAATTATCGACTGCTCACCTGTTTACCGACTGCTCAAGCGAGACTCGATCGTCACCTATTATTCATAGAAGAGTAAGTGCGATAGCCTTATTCTATCCCTATTGGCTGACTATAAGGGAAGACATAAGAGTAACTGTGATAGCCTTATTCTATCACTATTGGCTTACTATAAGGGAGGACATAAGAGTAACTGTGATAGCCTTATTCTATCGCTATTGACTTACTAACAGACACAAGTTCCCCTACATCTTCTACTTCTAGGTCCTTGCCAGTAAATGCTGTGCGCGTGGTAGCGCAGTGGTTTATGACAGCCGAATAATGGCTAGTTGTATGAACTTAGCCGGACAAAAGGAAAATATCAATATTTAGGGAACGACTCAAAATCATTTAAATTCTCAAAAGATATATTGTAAAGTACCTAATTTGATTAGAATCACCTTAATTGCTAAAGTAAATAATACTGAATTTATTCATAAACTTGGTATAACTTTCTGTGACACAAAATGTTTGAGCAGTTAGTTGGTAAATATTAATTAAATGTTAAGAAATTTTCATATTTAGTATAAAATATTGAAATTGAAAATATCTCTTCAACGAATAGTTTTTCTGCATCAAAAATAATTTTATTAAAACCCTCGAAAGCACTTGTACCTATTTGTATGCTCGCCACTGTTCGCATTAATTCAAAGGTGAAACTTTTTTATTTTTGACCTTTTTTAATTAAACTGGTAGTAACGTATCTATGAGATCTTTCTGATTAAAATGATACCAAACACGATATAATTTGTATTATATTTACTTATTACTTGTTATCAGTTATTAAGTAAGCAAATATGCTCCAAATTATATCGTGTTTGGTATCATTTTAATCGGAAAAATGTGACAAATGTGTTGGTAAAAATTTCATTCGTTACAAATCAAAAATAAGAAAATTTGATTTTTGAGTTGAAGGTCTCAGCTTATTCGTTTGTCCGCAGCTACTTTAATACAGAGAACGTGCCAGAAAAAAATGTTAAAGATTTTCACAGATAAAATTATACATTGCAGCTATAAACTTATTGAAAGCTGGGCGGGAAGCAATCCGATAAAAGAACGATTTTTAACGCACAGTGTCGCATGATTAGAAAAAGAAATAAAATTTGAAGAATTACAAAACGGTATGGAAGAAAATCAGGATAGACCTTGAAATTCCTTATGTGGTCGTAAGAAACATTCTTTTAACGATAGCAACAATAAGATCAAAAAGAGAACAATACAAAAGTAAATAGAGAATTAATTATATCACCGTGTATATGAAGGCGTCACACCTGGAACAGGTAGACAAAGAGCGTAGCAGAGTGTAAGACGGAGAAAAACATAGATAGTTAAGTGGGGGTTCGGACGTTCTAGCACTGCCTCAAGTCCGTCCCATGCGCGAAGTGAGGTTACTCTAATGTATTGGATGCAGTATAGTAATCGATCAGCTTCATGATCGATCAACACAGTGTTATAATTAGATAGCGGATGTTTATGCACGATAAATATTCAAAAAGCATGTGTCATTTATGCACGAAAATATGGAAGTCTGCACATAAAATAAGCAGATATGCACTAAAAACATGCGAATATGCACTTAAATATGCAAAATATATAAATATGTGTGTATGTATGTATGTACATGTACTTAACAATATTGTTTGGAATCATTTTTGTACCTTATAATTCGTCACAATAAATTATAATTGTAACAACCATCAATGAGAGACGCGACGAATTCTTCCTCTGTCCGAGAGGAAGCGAGAGGGACAGCTGTCTGTCCTTGCCATCATCGAAATGTTAAGAAGCGACTAGAAAATTCGAGAAGCGCCTGGCTCGCGATCCACGAAGGTCACGCGTTTCCGCGCAAATGCCCATATAGTAACGCGGCTTCTTAATTAGCCGCGCTTCATTAGCAACGGTCAAATATAAGTATTGCGGCCGCGGACACACTTAAGAGCATTCTTGCTGTACCCTTTTTGGAGAGAACAAAGGTATCCATCGGTCGCCCATTACAGTGGGGAGAGTACGAAGCTTTGCTATCGGACGCCCTTACAACCAGGAGAGTGCGGAGACTATTCCTGGGTTTCTCTCTGGAGGAGAGGAGAGTACACAGGGGGTCTCACGGACACCTGAGAATTGTTAAGAGAAGACTACCAGAATGTCTCCCCCTGGAATAGAGAGAACGGCTGGACTATCCGCCGGTCGTCTTCCAGGAGGAGCGCAGGACCGTACGCGTAATATTAAATATTGTGAAAGAAGAGTACAGGGCTATCGCCAGGGTCGCTCCTGGAATGGAGAGAACGGCTGGAGAAACTGCCGGTCGTCTTCCAGAGAGTAGAGTACTCGGACGCCTCATCACAGTAATCGCAATTGAACATTGTATTTGTTAAACGATTCGATAGATTCAGAATTGGAGAGTTTGGCTGCTTAAAGCCCGACGCCCGATAGTCAATATTCGGCGATTGTAATTACGCCCGATCTGTAATATTCATCGTCGTAAAAATGAATAAACTTTTGTCTTTCCCACAGAACCTGAAAATCCTATTTCCTTATCCGTATTTCTTATGCATCATCCTACATAGCTTATAATCATTGTGAAATCATTCAAGTTATAATAAACTGGATCATCTAGTTAACACATTAGATGTACATATGTAGTTTCTTTCCCTCAGCCTGCGGGTGGTCTTTCGACCAGAAAATTTGTCGGCACACCTCGTGCAAACACCGACCAAGTATAAAAGTTTGCCAAAATCAACCACAGGCCGAAATAATAATAGTTTATGAGCTGAACTCTTTAATACCCGTACTTATTACTCTGTTAATAGTAATCAACAAATATATTACACTTAAAAATTTATATGTATGAAATATTACAGTATATAATTTGCTTTTGGTAGAATAATAAACCTATATGCACGTATTTTGTATATGCCAAATTATTTATTTTAGTTATTAACAATATAGATAACGTTTAAATTATGTTGTTGTTATGAGTTATGTCATTGTTTTTAAACAACATTGGAATTATTTATAATCGTGAAAATTAAGTAGCGCGTTCACATTATTCACACAAAATTCACTAAATTGATACTAACCTTTTATAAAAACTTTTATATAAGTTTACACTTAATTAATCCGTATGTGTACTTTATGCATATATTTCTTATATTTATACACAAATAAATATGAAATTTTTGATAAAGGAAAATGCATAAAGGAAGAGAAAAGTCTTTTAAATATGGGTCTGTTTTATAAATAATAATCAAAATACATTGCGTATATCACTTATAATATCATGCACACAAACCATCACGAGAAAATACGCATTTTTAATCTGTTTATTAATAAAATCAGTCATCAGCTGATACAATACTTAAATTAAATATCTATATAAATGTGTACTCATTAACGAAATAAATGATTACAACATATGCATTAATAATCATCAACTTAGGTAAAGATTCTTGTACTTTATACATCACTTAAAGTACAAAACATGAATGGTAACGTCACTTTCATCGAGTTATTTATAAATTATTTACAAATAATACAATGAAAACGTATTCAAATACACTTAGAAATTACATAGGCATGTCAAAAATTTATGAGTTAATAGAAATAATTATTTAAAAAGTAACAATATATCCTTATTATAGCGAATTCACTAATCCAGAATATAATTTAAAATGGCAACTTGGTCGTCAGAAGAAAGGTGTATTCTCGAAAATTTCTTATTTAATATCAACTTATTCAGTAACTCTTGTGATTGCTTGTTGTGTAGTGCTATTAGTACCACTTGGTGAATCATTGGCCAACGGATTCAAGTGTGGTTGCCTCCCCTATAGTATTAGAGGCAGGCAAGACAGAAGTGCTGAAATCACTCAACCCGGTAATTCCACTTACACGTAATCCAGTAGTACTAGATGTTGATCATACACCAGTGCTCGAAACAGCTTGTGCCATACTGCTGAAGTTGGTGGTACAACCGTGCTTGTAGTTGGTGAATGAGTGGTGCTGGGAACTGGCGTTTCAGTAGTACGCGGAGCTGGTTGTTTAGACGAGGGAGTATTTGTTTGTCCTGTAGTTCTCGCTGATTTCGTAGTACCTGTCGCTGGCTCATGATTGGTTTGGGGGCTAATGGGAATAGTTGTTCCCTTTGCTGTTTTCGCTGTAGATATCGAAGCAGGTTGTTTCGAATTGGTCGAATTGCTTTGCTTCGTACTTCCCGTAACAGGTTGTTTAGGCGTACTGGTACATAATCGTGTAGTGGTTTTGGAAGATGATTGTTCAGTCGAGCTTGATGTTGGTTGTTTAGTAGTGCGCGGAGCTGGTTGTGCCGTAACGCGCGGTGTTGGCTGATTAGTGGGAGATGTACTCACAGGCTTCGTAGAAACAGTAGTTGTTGATTGTGTAGAGCTACTAGCAGTCACTTCAGTTGATAGAGGGCCAAAAGATTCAGTTATGCCTGTTGCTGCTTGCTCGGTAGTACTAGAGACAGATCGTCCATGAGTGCTCGAGCCGCTTGGCTTTGTAGTTCCCGTTACAGGTGGTTTAGTTGTCCTTAAAGTTGGTTGATCAGTGGAACTTGCTGCTGATTGTTCAGTAGTGCCTGGAGCTGGTTGTTCCGCAGTGCTCGGAACTGGTTGTATGCCTGTTGCTGCTTGCTCGGTAGTACTAGAGACAGATCGTCCATGAGTGCTCGAGCCGCTTGGCTTTGTAGTTCCCGTTACAGGTGGTTTAGTTGTCCTTAAAGTTGGTTGATCAGTGGAACTTGCTGCTGATTGTTCAGTAGTGCCTGGAGCTGGTTGTTCCGTAGTGCTCGGAACTGGTTGTATCGTAGTTCTCGAAGCAGGTTGTTCGGTCGAGACACTTTGTGCTGGTTGTTCAGACGAGCTTGACATCGCTTGTTCTGTAGTGTCCGAAGCTGGTTGTTCTGTGGTACTCGGAACTGGTTGTACCGTAGTTCTTGAAGCAGGTTGTTCGGTCGAGACACCTTGTGCTGGTTGTTCAGTCGAGCTTGATGATGCTTGTTCTGTAGTACTCGGAACTGATTGTACCGTAGTTCTAGAAGCAGGTTGTTCGGTCGAAACACTTTGTGCTGGTTGTTCAGACGAGCTTGATGCTGCTTGTTGTGTAGTACTCGGAACTGGTTGTACCGTAGTTCTCGAAGCAGGTTGTTCGGTCGAGACACTTTGTGCTGGTTGTTCAGTCGAGCTTGACGCTGCTTGTTCTGTAGTGTCGGAAGCTGGTTGTTCAGTGGTACTCGGAACTGGTTCTACCGTAGTTCTCGAAGCAGGTTGTTCGGTCGAGACACTTTGTGCTGGTTGTTCAGTCGAGCTTGACGCTGCTTGTTCTGTAGTGTCGGAAGCTGGTTGTTCAGTGGTACTCGGAACTGGTTCTACCGTAGTTCTCGAAGCAGGTTGTTCGGTCGAGACACTTTGTGCTGGTTGTTCAGTCGAGCTTGACGCTGCTTGTTCTGTAGTGTCGGAAGCTGGTTGTTCAGTGGTACTCGGAACTGGTTCTACCGTAGTTCTCGAAGCAGGTTGTTCGGTCGAGACACTTTGTGCTGGTTGTTCAGTCGAGCTTGACGCTGCTTGTTCTGTAGTGTCGGAAGCTGGTTGTTCAGTGGTACTCGGAACTGGTTCTACCGTAGTTCTCGAAGCAGGTTGTTCGGTCGAGACACTTTGTGCTGGTTGTTCAGTCGAGCTTGACGCTGCTTGTTCTGTAGTGTCGGAAGCTGGTTGTTCAGTGGTACTCGGAACTGGTTCTACCGTAGTTCTCGAAGCAGGTTGTTCGGTCGAGACACTTTGTGCTGGTTGTTCAGTCGAGCTTGACGCTGCTTGTTCTGTAGTGTCGGAAGCTGGTTGTTCAGTGGTACTCGGAACTGGTTCTACCGTAGTTCTCGAAGCAGGTTGTTCGGTCGAGACACTTTGTGCTGGTTGTTCAGTCGAGCTTGACGCTGCTTGTTCTGTAGTGTCGGAAGCTGGTTGTTCAGTGGTACTCGGAACTGGTTCTACCGTAGTTCTCGAAGCAGGTTGTTCGGTCGAGACACTTTGTGCTGGTTGTTCAGTCGAGCTTGACGCTGCTTGTTCTGTAGTGTCGGAAGCTGGTTGTTCAGTGGTACTCGGAACTGGTTCTACCGTAGTTCTCGAAGCAGGTTGTTCGGTCGAGACACTTTGTGCTGGTTGTTCAGTCGAGCTTGACGCTGCTTGTTCTGTAGTGTCGGAAGCTGGTTGTTCAGTGGTACTCGGAACTGGTTCTACCGTAGTTCTCGAAGCAGGTTGTTCGGTCGAGACACTTTGTGCTGGTTGTTCAGTCGAGCTTGACGCTGCTTGTTCTGTAGTGTCGGAAGCTGGTTGTTCAGTGGTACTCGGAACTGGTTCTACCGTAGTTCTCGAAGCAGGTTGTTCGGTCGAGACACTTTGTGCTGGTTGTTCAGTCGAGCTTGACGCTGCTTGTTCTGTAGTGTCGGAAGCTGGTTGTTCAGTGGTACTCGGAACTGGTTCTACCGTAGTTCTCGAAGCAGGTTGTTCGGTCGAGACACTTTGTGCTGGTTGTTCAGACGAGCTTGATGCTGATTGTTCTGTAGTGTCCGAAGCTGGTTGTTCTGTGGTACTCGGAACTGGTTGTACCGTAGTTCTTGAAGCAGGTTGTTCGGTCGAAACACTTTGTGCGGGTTGTTCAGACGAGCTTGATGCTGATTGTTGTGTAGTACTCGGAACTGGTTGTACCGTAGTTCTAGAAGCAGGTTGTTCGGTCGAGACACTTTGTGCTGGTTGTTCAGTCGAGCTTGATGCTGCTTGTTCTGTAGTGTCGGAAGCTGGTTGTTCAGTGGTACTCGGAACTGGTTCTACCGTAGTTCTCGAAGCAGGTTGTTCGGTCGAGAAACTTTGAGCTGGTTGTTCAGTCGAGCTTGATGCTGCTTGTTCTGTAGTGTCGGAAGCTGGTTGTTCAGTGGTACTCGGAACTGGTTCTACCGTAGTTCTCGAAGCAGGTTGTTCGGTCGAGACACTTTGTGCTGGTTGTTCAGTCGAGCTTGATGCTGCTTGTTCTGTAGTGTCGGAAGCTGGTTGTTCAGTGGTACTCGGAACTGGTTCTACCGTAGTTCTCGAAGCAGGTTGTTCGGTCGAGACACTTTGTGCTGGTTGTTCAGTCGAGCTTGATGCTGCTTGTTCTGTAGTGTCGGAAGCTGGTTGTTCAGTGGTACTCGGAACTGGTTCTACCGTAGTTCTCGAAGCAGGTTGTTCGGTCGAGACACTTTGTGCTGGTTGTTCAGTCGAGCTTGACGTTGCTTGTTCTGTAGTGTCCGAAGCTGGTTGTTCTGTGGTACTCGGAACTGGTTGTACCGTAGTTCTCGAAGCAGGTTGTTCGGTCGAGACACTTTGTGCGGGTTGTTCAGACGAGCTTGATGCTGCTTGTTCTGTAGTGTCCGAAGCTGGTTGTTCTGTGGTTCTCAGAACTGGTTGTACCGTAGTTCTCGAAGCAGGTTGTTCGGTCGAGACACTTTGTGCGGGTTGTTCAGACGAGCTTGATGCTGCTTGTTCTGTAGTGTCCGAAGCTGGTTGTTCTGTGGTTCTCAGAACTGGTTGTACCGTAGTTCTCGAAGCAGGTTGTTCGGTCGAGACACTTTGTGCGGGTTGTTCAGACGAGCTTGATGCTGCTTGTTCTGTAGTGTCCGAAGCTGGTTGTTCTGTGGTTCTCAGAACTGGTTGTACCGTAGTTCTCGAAGCAGGTTGTTCGGTCGAGACACTTTGTGCGGGTTGTTCAGACGAGCTTGATGCTGCTTGTTCTGTAGTGTCCGAAGCTGGTTGTTCTGTGGTTCTCAGAACTGGTTGTACCGTAGTTCTCGAAGCAGGTTGTTCGGTCGAGACACTTTGTGCGGGTTGTTCAGACGAGCTTGATGCTGCTTGTTCTGTAGTGTCCGAAGCTGGTTGTTCTGTGGTTCTCAGAACTGGTTGTACCGTAGTTCTCGAAGCAGGTTGTTCGGTCGAGACACTTTGTGCGGGTTGTTCAGACGAGCTTGATGCTGCTTGTTCTGTAGTGTCCGAAGCTGGTTGTTCTGTGGTTCTCAGAACTGGTTGTACCGTAGTTCTCGAAGCAGGTTGTTCGGTCGAGACACTTTGTGCGGGTTGTTCAGACGAGCTTGATGCTGCTTGTTCTGTAGTGTCCGAAGCTGGTTGTTCTGTGGTTCTCAGAACTGGTTGTACCGTAGTTCTCGAAGCAGGTTGTTCGGTCGAGACACTTTGTGCGGGTTGTTCAGACGAGCTTGATGCTGCTTGTTCTGTAGTGTCCGAAGCTGGTTGTTCTGTGGTTCTCAGAACTGGTTGTACCGTAGTTCTCGAAGCAGGTTGTTCGGTCGAGACACTTTGTGCGGGTTGTTCAGACGAGCTTGATGCTGCTTGTTCTGTAGTGTCCGAAGCTGGTTGTTCTGTGGTTCTCAGAACTGGTTGTACCGTAGTTCTCGAAGCAGGTTGTTCGGTCGAGACACTTTGTGCGGGTTGTTCAGACGAGCTTGATGCTGCTTGTTCTGTAGTGTCCGAAGCTGGTTGTTCTGTGGTTCTCAGAACTGGTTGTACCGTAGTTCTCGAAGCAGGTTGTTCGGTCGAGACACTTTGTGCGGGTTGTTCAGACGAGCTTGATGCTGCTTGTTCTGTAGTGTCCGAAGCTGGTTGTTCTGTGGTTCTCAGAACTGGTTGTACCGTAGTTCTCGAAGCAGGTTGTTCGGTCGAGACACTTTGTGCGGGTTGTTCAGACGAGCTTGATGCTGCTTGTTCTGTAGTGTCCGAAGCTGGTTGTTCTGTGGTTCTCAGAACTGGTTGTACCGTAGTTCTCGAAGCAGGTTGTTCGGTCGAGACACTTTGTGCGGGTTGTTCAGACGAGCTTGATGCTGCTTGTTCTGTAGTGTCCGAAGCTGGTTGTTCTGTGGTTCTCAGAACTGGTTGTACCGTAGTTCTCGAAGCAGGTTGTTCGGTCGAGACACTTTGTGCGGGTTGTTCAGACGAGCTTGATGCTGCTTGTTCTGTAGTGTCCGAAGCTGGTTGTTCTGTGGTTCTCAGAACTGGTTGTACCGTAGTTCTCGAAGCAGGTTGTTCGGTCGAGACACTTTGTGCGGGTTGTTCAGACGAGCTTGATGCTGCTTGTTCTGTAGTGTCCGAAGCTGGTTGTTCTGTGGTTCTCAGAACTGGTTGTACCGTAGTTCTCGAAGCAGGTTGTTCGGTCGAGACACTTTGTGCGGGTTGTTCAGACGAGCTTGATGCTGCTTGTTCTGTAGTGTCCGAAGCTGGTTGTTCTGTGGTTCTCAGAACTGGTTGTACCGTAGTTCTCGAAGCAGGTTGTTCGGTCGAGACACTTTGTGCGGGTTGTTCAGACGAGCTTGATGCTGCTTGTTCTGTAGTGTCCGAAGCTGGTTGTTCTGTGGTTCTCAGAACTGGTTGTACCGTAGTTCTCGAAGCAGGTTGTTCGGTCGAGACACTTTGTGCGGGTTGTTCAGACGAGCTTGATGCTGCTTGTTCTGTAGTGTCCGAAGCTGGTTGTTCTGTGGTTCTCAGAACTGGTTGTACCGTAGTTCTCGAAGCAGGTTGTTCGGTCGAGACACTTTGTGCGGGTTGTTCAGACGAGCTTGATGCTGATTGTTCTGTAGTGTCCGAAGCTGGTTGTTCTGTGGTACTAGGAACTGGTTGTACCGTAGTTCTCGAAGCAGGTTGTTCGGTCGAGACACTTTGTGCTGGTTGTTCAGTCGAGCTTGATGCTGCTTGTTCTGTAGTACTCGGAACTGGATGTACCGTAGTTCTAGAAGCAGGTTGTTCGGTCGAGACACTTTGTGCTGGTTGTTCAGTCGAGCTTGATGCTGCTTGTTCTGTAGTGTCGGAAGCTGGTTGTTCAGTGGTACTCGGAACTGGTTCTACCGTAGTTCTCGAAGCAGGTTGTTCGGTCGAGACACTTTGTGCTGGTTGTTCAGTCGAGCTTGATGCTGCTTGTTCTGTAGTGTCGGAAGCTGGTTGTTCAGTGGTACTCGGAACTGGTTCTACCGTAGTTCTCGAAGCAGGTTGTTCGGTCGAGACACTTTGTGCTGGTTGTTCAGTCGAGCTTGATGCTGCTTGTTCTGTAGTGTCGGAAGCTGGTTGTTCAGTGGTACTCGGAACTGGTTCTACCGTAGTTCTCGAAGCAGGTTGTTCGGTCGAGACACTTTGTGCTGGTTGTTCAGTCGAGCTTGATGCTGCTTGTTCTGTAGTACCCGAAACTGGTTGTACCGTAGTTCTAGAAGCAGGTTGTTCGGTCGAGATACTTTGTGCTGGTTCTTCAGTCGAGCTTGATGCTGCTTGTTCAGTTGTGCCTGGAGCTGGTTGTTCAGTGGTACTCGATGTTGGCTGCTCAGTGGAGGGTGTACTCACGGATTTCTTAGAAACATTAGTTGTTGATTGCGTAGAGCTGCTAGCGGTGACTTCGGTCGAACGTGGGTTAACGGGTTCAGGTGTTCCTGTTACTACTTGTTTAGTAGTACTAGAAACCAGTTGTTCAGGAGTGCTGAAACTCCATGACTTTGTACTTCCAGTTACAAGTTGTTCAGTTGTACTCGGAGCTGGTTTTTCTGTTGTGCTTGATATTGGATTTTCAGTAGTAGTTGTTCTAAGTTTCTCAGTAGTACTAGGAACGCTGTGCTTTGTTGTAAATGTTTCTGTTGTTCGAGTGTTGGGCCATTGTGTTGTTCTATAATGGAAAATCTCCTGCCTTGTGCATTTTTCTATCTGGTGTAAAATTTCGCTAACAAGTTTTAGGAATGATGGTAGGAATTTTGCTACAGTGCAGTGTTCCATTGAATGCATTAGACCGTTGATATGGCTAACCATTTTCAGAGTCTTCTTTGCTTCCTTGTGAAGATCTTCAAATGATATGTGTATTGCATTATGCATTGCCTGTGGAGGTCGTAATGCAGAACAGAAAGAAATATTATTTAAGAAACATTATTTGATGTGTTTTTTAATGTATTCCCTTTTGCTTAGTTATCTTTATGTTTTAATTGCTGTATAGTTTGAATATTATGAGTTTTATAACATTTTGCAAATTTGTTATCACTTGTATTTTTCAATGACTTTTAGAGTGTTAGAGCTGTTAAATATTTATGTGAAAAACTTTAAAAATTCTGTGTTATGGACAAATTGTTTTGCAGTCAAGTGGTAGTACAGAAAAGACTAATTAATTCATACATTTGAAGTTTTGCTCTATCTCATACCACAACAAAATTATATTCGAAAAACGGAAAAACTTGAAAACTTTGAGGGTTGATTTCACCATTTGAAAATGATTTTCCACCAAATAAAAATTCTCATGCTTTACATACACACAATGTTGTATTAAAATCACAATTTTTGAGTTGGACGACTTTCCGTGTGAAGGGAATTTTCTAAGATTTGGTGTACTTACCTGATTTAAACATGCAATAATATCAGGCAGAAATGGACCAGATGAAACGCATTGTTCTACCATCTGATTGGCATTTTGTAAGCCATTGAGAATGTTTTCTGATATTTCGGTGACTTCATCTGCGATGTCTGTTGCTTCGTGAATAGTTTTTGAAACGCATTTATCAACCTTTCGAATGATTTTGCTTGCTGTGTTATTTATTTCTTTTGCCAGGTCTGTGCACTGGTCAATATTAGCACCATGTGCTTTCTTGTGTAGGACACGGATTTTGAAGGTTACCTACATGTGTAAAATTGAAGATCATTATATCTTTAATATACAGCATATGAGATAATAAGCGACAAATATAATCTTTAAAAGAATATAAAATTATAATTCAATTTTACAGTTTTACAGAAATAACATACCTTCCTAAAATAAAAGATATGTTAAAATTTAAACAGATTAACTTTCATACTTTTTACTTTACTTTATAATTATTTCTGCTTTGTAAATTCTGAATTCTATTTATTAGAGCTTGTATGAAATATTCGTTTTTATCATCTAATGCTGCGAGACAGATATTTTGTTCAGTTTAGCAAACTTTGTAGATTTAAGTCAGGCAAAAATAATTAGATACTATTTTAGAGTATTATCCAATATATTATTTAAATTTCTGTACTATTTAATGCGTAATTTATATTCTCTTAACTTTTCAGCAATTACATTTTTTTATAGAAATTGCTCGTGTTTTACCTATAGAACTTTTGCATTTGTTTATTTCAAATAATTTTTCAAGAATAATCTTCACGATAATATTTACCCTGCGCAATATGTCGTTGAATGTTTTGTCTGCTTCTTCGTTTGTTGTAATACCAATTTTTTTCAACTCATTGACATGGAAAATTGCCTCTTTTTTGGCATCAGTGAGTGTGCTTATAGTTTTTTGTTGATATTGCTTTATATCTTGTATTGGATTCAAAAATCCTGGAAATGGAGGAATGATGCTGCCCTATAATTGGAAAAAAGAAGAAAAGGTACTCGAAATATCGAATTCCATATGATTTCACTAATTTAATATTTGTTAAATGAAAGAATGACAATTTACTGAGAAATGAAGTGAAGAGGTCATTACACGTAATTTACTACAATCAATATTTTATAATTATTTGTAACGATGTAGTTGTCACATGTGAAGAAAGATTATTTAAAGAGTTTCAGAAGAAAAGAAAAACAGTCTGCCTGTTGCCACAAAATTATAACATATTGTTCCACGAAGAAATATGTTACAATACCGTGTCCTGTTACAATACTTTTATTCGGTGTTTTATCACATGCGCAACTATTCCCGTGTCACCAAACTAAAGTATATACGAGAAAACTGAATACTAGCACTACGATACTTTAATTGAAAACACAGTAATTTCACTTACATATACAGCGACTAATAAGGAACAAAGAACTATGACTTTCGCCATCATTGTTTCCTCTTTATTCGACGATTTTGACACAGTCTCGAGAAATTCCGTTTCTCACTTATATAAGGCGCGAAATTTATGTAAATAATCCGAACGCGTTAACGAAGAGAATATACGTGTAATTTTTGACACTTGTGTCAATGTACTATTACGACTAATTAATATTGTAAGATATATCTAAATTACCGTAATTGATACGTTATCGGAAACTTATTTAACCACTGAATTTACGTATGTTTAATTTTTCCCTTAATTCTCTTCTTCTGAAAAACAATCACTGCTGTTCACGTCATTCCTTATGTTGAGTGACACAATTATTTATTCTTTCAAAAGTATTGTATTTGAACAAATCTAATATTATCAAAATATGTAACCTTATACGCGATAGAATTTTCATCATCATAAGATTGCTATGATTCGTATGCTCAACCAAAAAGTGAATTATGCAAAAATCTATTACAACACTTTTCATTCCATTTAAAATTTTTGTTTCTATTCACAATTTCACTCATATTTATCGATAATCAGTTTTTATTTGTTTCAAAATTGTTTCATTTTATAACGATCTATTTAAAGGAAGTTACTGAACAATTATAATTTTTAAACAGTTTGAACCGTTTTTAAGACGTTTAATATTATTGAATCTCCTTGAAATTATGTCGCGTGGATATTTATTTAAAGTAGCGATTTCAAGAATTTTATTTTAATCGAATTAGGAAGTCGTTTACTCTTAGTAAATTATTTTATCTACATTTGAATAATAATGCAATAACTCTTTGGAAGTCGTTGAACGAGCATGTATGTACATACATATGTCATATATTAACACTATGCAGGGTGTATCTAAATAGTAACTAGGCCGAGTCACAACTCGGTTGTTATTGAAGATAGAAAAAAATTGTGCAAGAGCAACTGAACAATATGATGAAAAGTGTAAGAAAAACGTGTAAAGAAATGTTTAGAATGCAATGGTGGAATATTTGAGCATTTAGTTATAGATGCTGGAAAAAGAGGTAAATATTTTGAAAATTATCGACTTTTTCACGATTGTAGCCTAATACTTTTTTATTCAGAATAGCACGAGGAATCGATTCATGCAAAAGAAAAAATCATCGAGTAGCATAAAAAGAACGAGTGCAATTGCACTTTCCAACTGCATCGATGCACATCCATAAAAAGCCGCATTACGGGATGGTACAGCTTGTTAAAGCTTGCAAAACTTTCCTTTATAATTTTCTTCTATCTTCAATTACAACCGAGTTATAACTCAGCCCAATTACTAGATACACCCTGTACATGTAGACTACGGTGCATAAGTATTTCGACACTATGCAGGAAATATACTTTAAATAAAACTCTCTAATATAGTTTTGGCTTGCGATCTTATCCCAGGCGACTCACATAATGTTTATAAATACCAATGAAAATAACATCTGACATGAATTAGTATAAATGAAAAAGCAATAACTGAAATCGGTGGAAAATTGATGTTGCGAGAACACTCGAGTACATCGACTTCAAGTGTTTGTCGAAAATTTCATGAAAAATTATTACCCCAATATGCTGTGCCAACGGTCAAACATGGAGGTGGTAATGTAATGTTTTGGTGCAAATAAAGTGGACAATTTAGTAAGAATAGATGGAATTCGACGAAAAGAAGAATATTTAAATATTTGAGGTGGACACAGACGAACGCAATATTTAATAATTTTCATTAATTTGTTGGTAAGTTTATTATCATATACTACATCCTAGATCTTCTACACCTCAACGACATTCATTGTTGCTGATTATAGGTAGAAATATTGCAATATAATAAAGACATATGAACCTTTCATTGCAATTAGATCGCATCGAGTGTCCAAATACTTATGCACGGTAGTGTACCTATTAATGTGTTTGAATACACTATCTATTGACGCTTCCACGATAAATGTATTAAAGAGTAATAAACGTTCAAGTACAATGTTTCGGAGAAATGAATGGTAAGGGGCAGCGTGTGCATAATTATATTATACAAGTACAACTTATTTTTATTTATTTGTATATTAAACCTTTAATGTGAAAATAATGAAAATACGTCATGTAATTGACATTAAGTACGTCAGATTATAAGAATGATGAAAACTATGTATGATACGCATGTAGTACAAATACACAGTGCAATAATTATAATTTCTAATTCATGTAAGCAATGTATGTTTATTCATTCGTCTATATTATACCGGTAAACTTTTTGAATGAATCGATGAATAAAGAATTATTTGTCATTTTTATTTCTTGCTCGTTAGTCGTGTCATGATTACACTTACTGATAATTTTCATTTTATTATTAGTATCGATTTCTATTTAAGACTATTACTAATAGTTCATTAGGAATCAATAAACACTTCAATTTTCTCACGCTATAGCCACGGTATTAGTGATATAAGTAAGAATAGTTAAAAATAAAAATCTAAGTAATTTGCTTTTTACTGAGTATCATTCTTTTAGATAAAAAAGAAATTACAGATAATCTTGTAGACTTATACAAGAGGGCACACAAGAAGTTTAATGTTACCACTTAGGGGCTTTTTCTGAATCATTTTATTCGCGATATTTTGATCAAACTGTTAACATAAAAATAATAGAAGTGGTCTCGTTATGCAGTTCACTACTCTACCTTAGTGAATTAAATTTAATTGCTTATGAATTTTTCCCAAGTATTTCAAAAATTTACACATATACTATGTATATTATGTATTGGACTTATCTATGCGCGTATATGTATATCTAGTTTTCGTTTCTGTATATCTTAAACTTAACGTTTTCGTATGCAATAACATCTTTACTACCTTGAGTCTCCCATCAGAATACTCCATTATTCAAACATTCTATTACGAGACTAGTTTTCGTTCTATGAGCTTGTACACTACCTTCTATTGAAACAGAAATATGCTTCACTGGTTTGATTAGGGCACAGTACAGTATAGTATGGTGGTGTGTGCATATAACTTATCGTTAGTACAAGTCTAATGGTGCAACTGTAACATTCACAGTCACGAACGATAAGGGGAGGTTGCGGTCTAGGAAGCTAAAAAATTATCATTTTTAGGATTTCTTTTTAGAAGAAACTAAAGATGATAACGATATGTGATTTGGGAGAATTTATTATATATCCTTTGAACTTTTAAAAATGATATAATTTTTGGTTATATACAAATATTTCAAGCGTCAGCATCGCATTCCGTAGCAGTCTACGAAAAATTCTCTTTGGATGGTGGGACATCCAGCTCCTCGGCTTTAAATCTTAAACAAAAGAACCAAATATATTCTTAAACTGCGTGAAATTTCCGAGGCAGTGAACGTACGAAAGTTAAAAAAAAAATTTTTTATCCTTTTTCTAACGCTTTAAAGTTAAACATCATTTTTTCATCAATTTTTTCACCACTCTACACCACTTAAAAATTAGTAAACTTGGATAAACTTAAAATGTTGGAGATTCATTGCTTACGTAAAAGTATATTCTTTAATTTAAAACAAGATAAAACACCATTTCGAAAAATGATGTTTCAAGAAAAACGTGTTTAAGGTTTTACATCATTGCATCAATCACAAAGGTCAACAATGTACGTATACACTAAACATAAGGAGCTCCTCACCTTTGTTCGAAAGTAAAGATACTTCACAGTTTTTTGTTTTTTAAGAAATAGTGAAATAAATTTTTTCGGACTTTTGTATATTACGAATACTATATTTTCGCCGCAGAAAATTATCTGAAACGAAAATCCAGATAAACTTCTCATAGATATAACACGAATCTCGAATTTTGCTAGGTACTAAAAGTTGACCTTATCTTTATTTATTTGAAATGTACCTACAGTGGAGGACAAAAGTATTCATACACCCTATAAAATGGAATAACTTTTTTAAAATTGGGCCAAACGACTTGAGTTTCTTTGAGAAGTTAGAAAGATTAGTTTACTAGATGACGTGTAAAAAATTTTTGAAAAAACTGCAATTAGTCGGAATCGCGAAGAAAATAGCGAAGGTCGTTTTTACAATTTTTTTATCTGAGCTCGTAATGAAAATTTAAAAAATACGTTTTGTAGATCTATGACAATTATACACACTCTGAAAATTTCATCGAAATACAAACTTTGTTAGCCTATTCTATATGATTAAAAGTAAGACGAAAATGTTGTATGAATATACATGTATAAAAGCTTTTGTTAAAAAGTTATAACAAAAAGAAAATAATGCGAAGGGTATGCTGGTGGTCTTATTCTTACAGAAAAATAATCTCAGAATATGAATAGATAAGTAATATTTGCGTTTCTTGTTGATAAATTAGATGTTACGAAATGCCGTAACGCGTAACCATCTATGTATAACGTTCCCTTTCTGTACATATTATATTGTTGTAAATTTTTGTTACAGCATTCATGGACCTACATTAAACGTCATTTTTGTCTCACTGCTTCGTAGAACACTGCAGTAAAGTTTTACGAAAACGTAGTTTCAGCCCGTAAAAGTATAAATAATTCTTTTAGATATTAGGTGTATGTAGACTTTTATGATTGAATTACAAACAGGTACAAGAAAATCAGAATTTTTCTTGATTAGTTTATCAATTGATTAGTCTTATTAAATCTCCCACGTGAACAAGCCTTTTATTGCGAACAGCATCTACACGTAAAATACTTCATCGTTTTACCGTTACGATCAACTCTCATATAAGGGACGCGTTTCTTGCATACTGTTCGTGGTTGTGTGTGTACGCGCGCACACGCTAGTACAGACACGTACAATTTCACCCCAATAAAACGTTCCCATAGAGCGCGACGCATGGGGTGTCGTGGGAACCGCTTCACTCGACATAAAGCACCGTGCGCATTTTTATGGGGCGCATAGACGTACCCAAGTAGCTTGGGGATTCCTTTGTAATGAATCGACGATTCTTCCAGTCAAGCTTTCGCCCAATTTTCTCTCATGCACGCGCCTCACGTTCGCAAATTCACGAATTCTTTCTATTGTGACAGTTGATCAACCAGTTACGAAACGTTCCGCCGTATTTTTTCGCGAACGGTTCGCACGAAACGAATATGAATTAATTGACTTATTAAGCGAAACTTTATCTCTATTCTGGCTTGACAACCCGCGAGAAACGTATGTAGCTTCTTTATATGAACTTGTTTACTCAGTTAACGAAACAATGTTTGAAAAGCATTCGAAACGGTACTGATATACGATTTTTTGGTGAATAACACATGATATATGTATTAGCGACATAATTCGCGCACGAATTTTATGGAATCGTATGCGTTTCTTTTGATTTGATGCTGGTACCTGTTGATGACAAAATTGAATCGACCGAACGGAAACGCAGGATCTAGTTGTTCAATTATTATTACTTCTTATTCATTGCACAAAAGTTCACTTGTTTAAAAAAAAAGAGATACAGGGTGTTTTGTGTAGAACAGGCCATCGAAATATATTCTCTAACATGAGAAATATTTCTTATGTAATTTAAATGGTTTCAAAAGACGATTCAGACAGAAGAACAATTTTTTATAACTATCATTTTTTCGTCCATGTTTTTTTAAGTATATGCACATAATTTTTTCTGATGTATGTCACAGCTAACATTACTGTGCATTTATCCATGTATAATGGTATGACTTTGAAATAATCTTGAACTCTAAAATTTTTAAGCAAATGTGAAATTTTCTTTCATTTTTTGCAATTTTTTCCATCAAATAAATTTTTCTTCCATCTTATTCACCCTTTGAAACTATTACGTTAGAAATTACGTAAGAAATGTTTCTCGTATTACCAGAGATAGAGAAGATATTTCGATGGCCTATTTTATGCGAAATACCCTGCAAAAATATAATACATGTGTGGGATCAGGGCCTCCATGCCCATCAGAAGGAGCAAATAACAACGAAGAAATAACAAGGACGTCTTAATTATGGGCGTAAAGTTCCAGCTTGCCGGCAAAAAGTCGAGGATTAAATTCTCACTTGGTCCCTCAAATTTTTTCCTCAGCTCCTTTTACATATATGTACAATGTATATTGTTGAATCGTAATTATTCTTACTATAAATTAGTTTAAGAAGCTTTATATTGTTTAACAACATTCACTCAGGAAGTATTAGATCTGCCGAAAAGTTCTGTCGTTTCTTATACCTTTCATTATTTGACTTATGTTATAATATTTAATTTCTTTAATTTGCGATATAATCATCGTCATTTTGTATGACCGTGCTCCCATATTTCTGATAATTTATCAATTCTTTTTTCATAAAAAGCATTTCGTGCTTTCTGCATGAAAGCTATTTCTTAAAAAAAACTACACTGAACGAGTCATTACTTTCTTTTTGATATTCGTAAAAGATCCAATACCGCAACTGTTCCTTATCCACTGATATGTTTACTGTTAAATTCTGTAACGACAAACCAGCGACTGGCGCCTGCACTCAGATTACTTTTATACTTTAGGTCAGTATAATGAATGTATTTGTAAAAGTCAGATCAATTGAGAATTCAAAAGAAAGATTTCAAATAATGTTAAAGTCCAGGATAAACATAAGTTGAAAAAACGTAATACCGCTGATTTGAAAAATGTGATGATCAACAGATTAATACTACTATTCTCTTATTAATTACTATATTTTTATAAATTACAGTAAGACTAAAAATTGTACGTGGTATTCATTACACTAGTTATTGTAATTTCTGAGATATAATTAAAAACGAAAATTTGTTAGTTTTTAGGTAAAAGTAAAAACTTGAGTTTGCTTACTTACACATAACTTTTCTTTCTACTATACATAAACGACCCAACACATTTTGTTGATAAAATCAACCGATGTTCATTTAGACTTTGGTTATTTCTCTAGATATATTTTATTCGTTACAGAAAGAGGAAATTGTGTTATTGTTTAAAATAAACATACTTAAAATTCAAACAAATGGAATAATACCGCACAAATTCAATTTTATATAAAATAAATATAACAAATTTAAAATTTAAATCTGTAATTTTTAAATAAAGCCATGTTATACCTATTTCTATTTTTTCTTCCTTTGAGTTTATGAGTAATTGAATAATGAGAAGTTTATAGGAAATTACACAAAGGTAGTAATAAAATGATGATTGTGTGCAAAGAATATTGTAAAGCAATAAACATTATTATAATAGGCATGGTTAACAAACCGTTTCTCAACAAAGTACATGTTATGTTTCAGATAAACCTTCCCTAATCTGCTTTGATTCGGGACATTTTTGGGTGAGTGCTTAAATACAACCTTCGTTTATTTCACGGTCTACTTATACATATTCGAGATATTTGATACATATGTACATACATACTTTCTTGCTCAATAAGGAGTGTCAAAATAAAAATTACCCATGTTCACAATTCTTATCAAATTTTTTTACACCACGTATCTTATGAGATATTCATTTAAAACATTTTATGTATGTACATACCATACGTTACCATGCTACAAAATGGAAACTTAATGTCATTTCCTTTCTCGTTTTACTTATAGATGTAGGTAAATTATACAACTTCATCCCTCGTAGATTTAGAATCCACCACATGTGTCACGTTCTAAAAATTGTTTTTGTTTTTTAAAGGGAACATACACTTTAGGAAGCTAGAGTTTTAACATCTGTTCTTTCACTCGCTTCCTGAATATCAGAATATCGATAGCACGTGTTTCCTATGTGTCACATATACAGAGTGTCTTTTTCAACTGGACACGATGGAATATCTCAGAAGGAACTGAAGCTATCGAAAACATGTTCTTATAAAAGTTGTTCGGTGCGATGAAGAACATAATGTGGTACATATAAGTATTAGTTTTTTCGCGAGTGAAGTAGTGACGAAAATTTCAAGATCAAGTTGATGGAGATTTTTAAATGGACCGCTATATATTTTTTTCATAACAGGATAGCGTTTGTTGTTTTATGAAAAATCGTCAAATAGTGAAGGATCGCGGCGTCTACTAGTACAAATTCTCCACCGATTTTACAACTTTCGATAAAACGACCAAATGATTTAATGTGGTACCTTGTTGAATTCGTCTGAACAAACGCTGTAATATTGAAAATAAACAAATATAGCGTTCCATTAAAAAAAAGTAAACTTAACCTTGAAATCTCTCCCATTACTTCACCTGCGAAAAAAACTATTTATACCACATCATGTCCCCCATCCATACCAAACAACTTTTCTAAGAACAATATTTCAATAGCTACAATTCCTTTTCAGATATTCCACCGTGTCCAGTTAAAAAAGACACACTGTGATGAAGATAAACTAGGGAAACAGATGAAAGCACTATACGTCTACTGTGAGATTAAAGCTAATCACCTTTCAAAATGAATTTTGAAAATACAGTAGAACCTCCGTTATATAAACTAATTGGGGGACAAAAGTGTTCATATAATAGAACAACAAGCGTTTAGCTCTCGGATTATATATAACACTTAAGACAAAATGAAATAAAATGAATACAATTTGTTTGTAAATAACTTCATGCATAGAGCACTAAATCAAAAAACAATATTGTTCAATACTCCTTTTTAACGAAATTAGAGAAATCAAACTTATGGATCCCAAATCCAGAAGCAAGTACATACACATATCTAAACACTTTCTATATTTACACACAGCACTGTAATACGTAATATACTGTTCAGATAACGGAGGCTCTACTATATAGTAATTCTGTAAATATTTATTTAATTTGATATAACAAATTTACCTGTTTCTCGATTCGTTTCTCGACACCAATACTTTCAACTAATATGTATCAATGAAACCTGCGATTAGTGTCTGATACTTTTCATTTTATTAAGTTCACAATTCTGTACTTTTAGCTTTTTTAAAAATATAATACAATATATTACAGTAGTTACGATTATCCAGTGTATAATATTTCCTATAATTATGCAAAGTGTTGCACATATTATATAAAAAAGAAAAGGGATATTGCTTACAATTAGAGTATTATTGTATAGGGATAGCTTGCAAGATATAATTATAATAAGAGTATTTTCTAGAAACATCACTAATAAGCATTTGATCGCAAAAGTAAGTAGTTTCTTTATAATTACTAATTATATATGTATCACAGCACATGTTTTCAAGCAAATAAATTCAGGGTAACAAAATAAATTATGATTACATTTGTTAACGAATATGTACGTTTCAAAGTTCATGGTGATGAAAATTGACACGTGTGTCTCGGATAACGAACATCGAACGAACTTGAAATAGATTACTTTCACATCCATATTTCATAACAATAATGACAATTGTTACATTAAAGATTGTACTTTCTGCAGTTCTTTTATTACGCTACCCTGTTCAAAAAGTTCCAGGACAAGTTTGTTTATAATAAGCGGTCAAATCAACTATTTTTCTTCTGTTAAGTTAGTAAACCTGTTGTTGACATCTGTGTGTTACCTACTTAAGATCGATTGAACAGTTTGTTTACCTATAACAGATGTTTTTATGTGAAAGAAGATTTGAGCGAGTGGTGATTTTCATCGTCCAAAGTCAAAATTCATCGAGCGAAGAATTGACATTATATTTTCTGTCGAAAACGAAATTAACCATTCTAATACAATCAGAATTTGAGAAGAAGGAAAGAATTGTTTATCAAAATCACGTGTGCTTGAATAGTACAGTCTGTTTGAAGACGTTCGTCGATATCAATCGACGACATTAGAATTAAAACAACGAATGGAGGATTTCGTCCTATCAAATTGACGTTTAACAATGCGAGAAATATCTGCAGACTTAGGAATATCCATGTAACTGAAAGTCCGCAATTGAGACGAATTGTGCAGCACACTTCGTACGAACAGAGCTGAATTTGCCGAGGTGATTTTTCAAGCCCATAGTGACGAAACTATCATGAAATGCATTATAATCAGTGGCGAAACATAGGTATACGGATTTAACGCCGAAACCAAACAACAATTCTCTCAATAGACACAACAGAGTGAACCAAAGCCAAAAAGAGCACATAAAAGACTTTCTACCGGCTGGCCAACCTGTCAATAAAGAGCACTACTTGGATGTCATAGAATGTTTGTGTGATTCAATTCGCAAAGTACGATAACGCACCAGCGTTATTAAAGTTCATACCTCGACGCTTGTTCGCAACTTTTTAGCCAAAAATTTAACAAAACTCGTTCCACAAGCACCGTGAACGCAGCATGAACCGTACAACTTCTTCCTATTTTCCCGATTGAAGCTATAAAACGAAATTCAGTAAACAAGTTAAAAGCCATCTCAGAAACTGAGTTCCATCAATGTGCCGAAAAATGGAAAAAGTGTTGGCATAAATATATTGTAAGCAATGGGAATTATTTTTAAGGTGAATAGTTTAAGTTAGATCCCATTTTAGAACTTCTTTATCTGAGCCCGTAAAAAAGATTTTTAAAGTACGTTTTGTGCCAGTTATACACACAGTGAAAATTTCATCGAAATCGGCTAACGTTGCTATGAGCTACAGACGGTTAAAAACGGTGAAAATCGCAATTTTTCAGGACTTTTGGCCTATAACTGTAATAAATCTGAAGATTTTTATATTACCTATATAACTGACATGACGTCACTATTTTCTTCGCGATTCCAACCATTTGCAATTTTTTTACAATTCTTTTGCACATCATCTAGTAAACTAATCCTTCATTTTGTCCAATTTTAAAAAATTTATTCTGTTTTAATTTTAATAAAACATAACCTATGAGATATTAATGCTAACAGTTAGTTATTGTAATATAAATGTAAATTATTTGTATGTATTTTGAACCATATGATGAACTCTTAATTAATACTGAAGACTTGAAAACAATATGGAAAATTGATTGCCGGATATTATACCATTAAATTCGGTCGTAGCAATCATAATATTGGACAGAATTGACGTAGCTACAATAATAGATAAATAATTTATTTGCCTTTGCATAATAATAATAATTCTGCCGGCTTGAAAAAGGTCGAATATATTAGGAATTGTAATACAAAAAGAAGCATTCTTCAATTTTCCAGAAAATCGTTTTGACGTCAAATTGTATTACTATCATTTTACGGCAATAGAAACTTTATCAATATGTAATCAAGAATTCTCAAGAATGTGAATAATATCGAAATTCTCACATATTTTATTTTATATTGGAATTGTTTTTCATGATATCATTAATGGTTTCAACACTGTAATGTAAAATTGAATTAATACTGCAAAGTTAATAAATTTTTCGTAATACAGGTAGCCCCGGTTAAACATTCCGTTTGTGTATATTCTTTATTAAAATATAAAGAAGATACAAAGTTAAAGAGTTACCGATGTTTTCATTCTTTTGCTATTAGGAAAGTACGGGAGAATTAAAAAACTTGAAAAACTCGAATTCATTCATACTATTAACGATGAATTTAAGTAATATCTTTATCCGTAGATACCGAATATTTTAAACAATGCATACCTACATGGTAAAATATAGATAAGTATTATTTCCTGGATTTAATAAAATAATTTATTTTAAGAAACTCCCTTTTACTAAAGAGTATATACTTTTTATCATCAATACTTCACAGTCACCGCTTGACATGAGATTTTATATGAAAACACGGTTGAGAAACATGTATGTAATTTTAAATGTCATTTTACTTCTTATTGGGCACACAAGAAGAGGAAAGTACTGGTACGTTTTAAAATGTTACTAGAAAAAGTTATTATTAAAATTTAAAAATGTTCCCATTGTTTGTAAATTTATTTTTAAATAGTAATAAAAAGATTTATAATTCTATTTAAGTTAATCTGCATATGCACAGTAACCGTGATCTTTAAAGTGTTACGTTTATTTTAGATAGTATATCAATTTATCTTATAATTAACATTGTAAAATGTATTAGAAGTATACTTTACGAACCTTGTTATCATTAATGCGTAAAAATATCTAATACGCTACACTCTTTAATTATAAAACCATCCGAATGTTTTTAAGATTTGCACGTTACAACTGAACTTGAATAAAAACTATATTGCAATGTATAGAAAAAATACACACAAAAATCGTTTACCTGAACAAAAACGCATAGTGTACACATTTTTCTATGAAGAAAAATAAGAGGATCTATTTTTAAGTTGTTTTGTGTCTATAAAATCAGTATTAAGAAAGTACTTTATAATACTAAACAAAAATTAAACTGAAATCACAATAAAATAAAATTATAAAGATAATTTAATATTCCGTATTCTCCACAGA